AAATAACAAAGAAAAACTCGAAATACGAGAGAAATTTTTGATTGCTGATGAATTAATTAAATCATTACCAATTACATTATCAAGAAATTTAGATTCTAAATTTACTAACAAACTTATTAATGCGCAAGAAATTAAAACATCATTAACTACATCTAAAAAACACCCAGAATTTATGTATACTACTAGACTTATAAACACATTAGAAATTATAGATGCTTACAGCAAGTCTATTGAAATCAATAAAGCAAGTTAGTTCAAAGTTATAATTTTTATCTTTATTAAAATAAATTTTGATAATTCAAATTGTAATTATATCTAGATTCAGGGCTTCGTAATCTTAGTATTCCAAGCATTTTAAGTAAGATTAATTTAAATTCTGAAATAATTTTAAAAGGTTTTGTAAATTATCACTTATTTACTAACGTTTAATATATCAAATTACTTAAGAATTATCAGATAACAACGATGGTATTATCGATTTACAGTATATGTAGTTTATCTAAAGTTTATCTAAAAAGTATAGGGTTTTAACATACAAATTATTAAATTTTAAATTTATAGATGATAAAAATAGTATGCTTTCTTCTAAAAGAAAAATATTAGGCCTTAATGGTTGGTAAAAGGTTTTAATTAGACAAATCTAATTATAACAACATGTTATATACTCATTTGTAACAATCTACTTAATACAACCAATTAAAACAGCTAAAATTTATGCTACCCAAAGCTTAACTCTAATCTTAACTCTAACAACTATTAGTCATACGAGGTTATATATAACATGTTGTTACAATTATATAGAGTGAAAACCTGGAAGCTGATCATAGTAAATCATTAAATCGGTTTCCAGGTCTTAATTCTTATGCACTTATTTATTCTTTTTAATTTTATTATTATAAATATATATTAAATATTTTTAATCTATTAGATATTTCTGAAGAAAATAAATCAAACAAGAAGATAAAAAGTTAAACCAAAATTTTATATTTTATAAAATTATATTTAAATTTAAATTATTTTTTAACCTACAAACAGTTTTTAATAGATTAATTCTAGATATTAGAAATAATAAATCAATTGTATTATATTATATTATTCTGTCAAATAATTTTAGCTTTAATAAATCTTTTTATAGTTATAACATTTTAAGTATTTGAGAATAAGTGTTTATTTGGTATGTTTATAGAATCTGATGATTATAATAAAATATCATATACTATCAAGATTTTTGATTTGGTTATGAAGTGCAATAACTGATTCTGGAAAATATTGAGTTAATAACCTGTTATAAAAAGCTGTCAATAAGATTATAGAGTGGTGCTAGTGATGGGTAAGTAATCCAATGTAATGAAGTGCTAGTATATATTGTTATTACATTAATCACATGATTTACGCTTTACGTTTACTTTCTACTATTTTATCGATATACAGTATTTTAATATTTGGATTATTTGATTTTACAATAACATCTATATTATTATTACAGACATACATTTCTTGCAATATTATTTTTACCGATATAAAATTTTTCAGCGTGCTAATGCTTTTCCAACGTCTGATCTAAGATTATTTTGTCCAAGAGCCAAAGAAGTCAGCGAGGTGTTCTTGCAAAGTGCATCTGCTAATGCTTTTCCTCCTTCTGATCTAAGATTATTTTGTTGGAGATTCAAATATGTCAGCGTGTGTTTTTGCAAAGTGCATCTGCTAATGCTTTTCCTACTTCTGATCCAAAATTATTTTGTTGGAGATTCAAATAAGTCAGCGTCGTGTTCTTGCAAAGTGCATATGCTACTGCTTTTCCTCCTTCTGATCCAAGATTATTTTGTTGGATATTCAAATAAGTCAGCGTCGTGTTCTTGCAAAGTGCATCTGCTAATGCTTTTCCTACTTCTGATCCAAGATTATTTTGTTGGAGATTCAAATAAGTCAGCGTCGTGTTCTTGCAAAGTGCATCTGCTAATGTTTTTCCACCTTCTGATCCAGATTATTTTGTTGAAGATACAAATAAGTCAGCGTCGTGTTCTTGCAAAGTGCATCTGCTAATGCTTTTCTATCTTCTGATCCAAGTTTATTATAACCAAGGCTCAAGGAAGTTAGCGTATTATTCTTACGAAGAGTATCTATTAAATTCTTGCAAAGTGTATCTGTTAACATTAATTTATAAATATCACTTCTAATGTTGGTACTGCCTAAAGCGGAGGTGAAGGGATATTGGTGTTGGCTTGTACTTCCCGTCAAGGACTCACACGCGCAAGGCGTTAAATGTTTAAGATTTTTACATACTCGCAAAAACATTGCAACTAAAGAGCATTTGATAGCATTTGCAAGATTATCAATTTCGAACCATTTTACATTATGGCCTTCATTTTTAAGCCAATTTATGATTCCACTATCCAAATAAAAACCAACAGATGTTGTATAACTTTCATACTCAAATAATTGGTCTTGGATAATTTGGAAGAATAATTTTGAAGGGAATCAACACAGCTTGTTCTTCAGTATTTAATGCTAAAAGATATATTCTTATAAGTCTTTTATCAGTGAAATAATTTGTAGGTTCACTCCATAATATTGGTACAATAAT